AAAATCGTGTAACCATAAAGAAACAATATTACATACCATAAATTTTTGGCTAACTAAAGTGTTTTGTTTGGAAACTATTATATTTTAATTAAAACTAATTACGGTTGATGTAATCTTGAAATGGTACAACAATTTTATTTTTTTAATATGCACCCTAAATTTATATATATTGTAGATTTAATTTAGGTAAATTTCGACTGATGCAAAAGTCAATTTTCTTTCTCTATTTTTATTAAAAAAACTGATTAAAATAAAATCAAGAATTTTGAATTAGGCAAAATACTATCACGTATATCTTTTACTAATTGAAACAAATCAATTATTTATTATAAAAATCGGATTGCATAGTCGGCATGACAATTTTGTAAAAGTCAAAATTCTTTCATTTTTTATTCAAAAAATATGTTTACCATACAATCGAGAATTTTGAATTAGACAAAATACTATAACATGTATCTTTACCTAATTGTAGAAAATCATGTTTATTAAAAAAAATCGGACTACATAAAATCGGGCCAAATTTCAAATTAAAAATTAAAAACTTTTTATCATTTGATTACTACTTTCTTTAATTCAGCCTTTTTTAAACATAAAACATAGTCATATAATATTAATTTGAAATTCAAAATGAAATCGGATTGTAACATCCTAAAACTTTTGGTTTTGTTTAATTATCTAGAATACAAATTTGAAATTGATTGAATACACTTACAAAATAAATAATGATTTCATACACTTAAAAAATATTGTATATATATTGCTAAATAATGTAATCGATTTATTTAGGACTATCTACAATCTTAATATAATTTGTGGCGATAGACGATATACCAAAAGACCAAACAAATAATTTTGTGTACAATGATGTGTTTAATAATATGTAACGTTACATTGTGTTTCATTTTAATATATGTATTTTACGTTCTTCTAATCATCCAAATTTAATTGTTTACCTTAATAAAACGAGCTCGTGCATCGCATGGATACCACATTAGTGTACATAAAAAATGGTTATAATATTGTTCTCGGCCTGCCAGAAAAACTGAAATGTCGCCAGAAAATCACACATGCCATTCTAGGTGATTGAAATTGCTGATTTGGAGCTCACGTGGAATTTAAAGTTAAGTCGTGTCATTTATTTTGAAAAAATAAAATAAGGAAGCTAAAATTGAATTACAATACATAAATAAAAATAAAATGCATACATTCTTTTTTCTTTTTCGAAACGATAGATTTTATATTCCTTAGAAAAAAAGATTTTACAATGAAGACCGAAAGGGCACTCGCACTTATAAAAGTACCAAAGAGGTGGAATCGGGAGAGATGCTAACCGTAACACCCTAGACAAAATGCATACATTCAAGATCTAAAAAACTTAGAAATCGATAAAGGGGTATTGTTACTAATAAAGAAACGGACAGAACAATTAGTTCACACACAAGGGCAATCGAAGTGCCTGAGAAATCAAAATTTTTTGAAAAAAAAAAAGTTGATAAATTGTAAGAAGATACTCAAATCTTAAAATTGATAAAGATAAATTATACAATTAAATTATGAGAAATTGCAAAAAAAAAAAAAAAAAAAGTGATAAATTGTAAAGAGAGTGATTAGAGTGGTTAGTCTCAAGGAAGACGCTACAAAATCAGTTTTAGTCTCAGTGCTACCAACTCAATCACGCTGTCTAGTCTACAATTAAATTGTGGAATTCCATGAGTTGGACAATTAAATTGCGAAAATTGATTAAGTTGGGGCATACAGTCATAAAAAAATACTATCCAGTTATTCAAATTATTATTAATAATAATAATAATAATAATAATAATAATAATAATAATAATAATAATTCAATATTGAGTTCTACAATGCATAAACCTCCTTATCATTTTATAATGCATGGATCTTGGTAATAAAATACTATCTACATATATATTACTTCTAAATTATTTCAATAAACACAAACATATCATCATAATAAATTAAGCCATACCGCGAATCTAATAATCTTAACAAATTCTTCTAATCTATTCCAAACCAACCCATACAATTTCTTCATAAAACAATATAACAATCTCCTAAAACATGCACAAAACAAATCACACATTCAACTACATGTTTACTCTCACTCCATTTGATCACTTCAAAATATACCCCATATCCATTAATCAATCCCATCCTTTTCAAACGAAAACCGAGCCGTTATCATCACGATCGAAGTTCATGCCATCCAGCATTTCGGAAACCTCATTATTATTCGGCCCATGATCGAGATCGAACAAGAAGCCATAGTCATCCTCACACTTTGCAAAACTCGGGTCAATTAATATTTTGTTCTGATAATTATCGTCATTCATTTGATCATGAGATAAGAGAGTCGGGTACGTCTCGTTTGACGACAGGCCTAGTGAAGTATTCGGGTTAATGTTATGGCCATGTTGATGTTGATGGTGATGATTATTCTGACATAGGCTTTGTGGTGAGAAAGATGATGAGATATTGTTTTGATGGTAATAAAGTTCACTGTTGTTTAATTGTTGTTCTCCTCTTGATTTGTGAAATACTCTGCATAGCACCCAATCTTCCTGTCGAATAATCATCGAACGTTCGAATTAATCAGCATTGTAAGATACTTTAAGCAAAATATATATATACATCAATACATGCGAATCGCAGAAAATCATCGTAATGTTTTCGTTTTACTTTATTTTATTTTATTTTATTTTTTTGCCAGAGGAATTTGATAGTAGTGTGAGTACATATGTGAAATTTAATGGAAAGGCCCACATGGGATGAAAATAATTTATGAAAAGGTGATGAGGTGAGTGAAAGAAAGAAAAAAATGGACACAAAATCTTTCCTCTGCTGTCAATTGTGTCTGGTTCAAGCTTTTTGCCTTAGTACATAATTGTCAACAAGAATGACTTAAAAGTTAAAATACCCTTTTTCACAAAATTTTATTTTATTTTGATTATAATTAATAACCCTTTATCATAACACAAACAAACACTTGAATAGTTGAATTCTTTTAACTTGGAAAAAAAAAGTATATGTCATGATGATGAGGAGAAATGAACTAACCTTAGGCGGCACGTGAGGATTTTCCATACGAAACTCGTGCATAATCCACCCGGTTTTGATCCCATTCGGAGCTCGATTCTTGTAAAAAACCAAAGTCTTTCTCATGCCCACAACTCCTCGTGTTTTCGGGTCAAGCACGACTCTATCTTTTCCGGTGGCCTTCCAATAGCCGGTTGTGGTGGCTCGGTTTGTTCTGAAACCGGTTGCATACTTCCGGTCGCGAAAGCTAAAGAAATACCACTCGTTCGAATTCAATTTCGCCACATCTGAAATTAATAATAATAATAATAATATGAAATATAATAAATGAAACGTACACAAGTTACGTCGTCAATAAGTTTAACCAACTCTATGAACCGGAAGGTATTGATATACACGTGTGCGGAGAAAAACAAAAACAAAATCGAACTATTTGCGTATATGAGTTGAACCCGTGCTCGAAACGAATCATTATGCAATATCATCATCATCTCTGTTATGTTTGCTAGCATGACAAAATGTGGCTAAAGTGACAAAATAGTTGGTTACAAGTCATGGAGAGATAATAACAAAGGCCATGCTTATAATGCATATACTATAAGTTTTTGAGAAATTTCATGTGTAAGGAAGGGGAATATGTTTTGTTAGCCTTTTCTACATAGATGGGAAGGTTACTTCTATGGTAAGATGTCTATGTCACAAGACTATTTGTCTTCTTCATCTATAAGTATACAGTTTCTAATATAATCATCACTATTGGTTTTAATTCTATTATTGCAATAATATTTTCAAACTAACTAACAATAATATGAACAATGTGTAAGCTCTATAGTCTATACATATCTTGATCTTTCTCTTGAAAAATTAATCAAACTTGAACAAAATAAATAAATAAAAAAAGTTAGCAGTACGATATATATATATGCGGTATATATTGTATTGATTGAAAGATCACGGAATTTTGAGACGTGACTGATGTATACATTTTTAATGTGGCTACGGAAGGGTAGATGAGTAATTTCGACGAATTATTATTGTTTTCTCATGTATGCCAATGCCAATAGTTGTTGCTAAATCTTATCCATTTTATGCAAAAAAGATGTGAAAAAAAGCAACTAATAAGATACATTGAACCAAAAACCCATGTAAGAAAAGGTATAATAGAGAAAAACGCATCTTCTCCTCTTTTTTGGTCTTCAAAAAGAGAAGACCCTTTTTTTCTGAAACCCTTCATGCTTTTGAGGGGAAAAATATGCATGCCTTAAGCAAAAGACACATGCAAAATTAAAACAAATTAATTGAGTTTTGATCCAAATTTTATTTAATTTCCTCCCTTCAAAAACTTATGAAATATTCCAATTTTATCACTATCTTCAAAGCAACATTAAATTTAAAACCCACTTTTTTTTTTTGTTTTTCTTATTTATATTAAACATACTATATTGCTTAAAAAAAAAATATTTCTCTCTCTCTCTCTCTCTCTCTCTCTCTCTCTCTCTCGCTCTCTCTCTCTCTTAATTAATTCTATTCGTATTATATATATCAAACAAATAATTCATTTTTTTTCTCCACCTGTTCTTGGATTATTTGCTACAAAACACACACACACACACACACACACACACACACAAAAACAAGCACAATCATAATCATATGCACCAAAATTAATCAAGCACACCATATATTTCCATACAAATCACGTGCACAAATTAAAGAACCGATCGAGCCCAGCATGCACATGCCACTCGTATGTCACGAGAAAGGCTTACACGAAAATATCGGTGGGACGGGCCCTGCCCGGCCCGGCCCGGGAAAGAACAAATAGAGATAGACATGACATGACACATACCTGGAAGCTGCCATGGCTCACAAACATGAAGATCAATCTCCACCAAAGTGCCTCTCAAGACATCTTCATTAGCAATCTTTTTGTACAGATAATGGCACACTAACTCTTCATCACTTGGATAGAATCTGAACCCTGGTGGCAGACTTTCTCCAATATCTCTCAAACCCATTTTTAATATATATATATATTTTTTTATTTTTAATTTTTTTTTTCAAGATTTCAAGAAAAAATATTTTTAAATATATATATATATATTTTCTTTTTGTTGAGGGGGCGAAAAATTAAATAGAGGAGTTGAAGGGTGCTTATGATATATATAGAGTGGGATATATGGGGGGATGATTGAAAAGTACCTTGTCCAAATTGAAGTTATCTTTTTTCTTAATTAAGCTTGTGAAGTTAGTTATGGCTACATACAGACTTTAGATGTATTGTTGTTTAATTATATGTGACAAAAATAATGTATAATAATAATAATATGGGTGTGTGTGTGTGTGTGTATGTGTGGGAACTTTGAGGAGAATTTAATTAGAAGAGCCAAAGTCACAAGGAATCGTGTATTGATGATGTGGTGGGGCATGCACTAGCTAGGAGGTGGATTAATAAAACGGATATCTTAAAATTACTAAGTCATTTGGAATTAGATAAAAATAAAACCTCCAATTTAATACTTTTAATTACATAATATTATATTTTTAAATATGTGAATATTAGGGCTGTTAAATTTAACGAATCTGCCTCGGCTCGGCTCGGCTCGCGTTCGAGGCCTTAACGAGCCGAGCTCATTTAAAGCTCATTTGGCAAGCTCGATTCGATAAAGCTCAAAACTAAAATTTTTATATAATTTTTTATAGTTCGGCTCGTTAAAGTTCGAGTTCGATGCCTTAACAAGTCGAGCTCGAGCTCGATTCTAGGCTCGACTTGTTAAGGGCTCGAGTTCGAGCTCGAGCACCCAAAGCTCAAGCTCGGCTCGTTAAGGGCTCGAGTTTGAGTTCGAGCACCCTAAGCTCTAGATCGGCTCGGTTCGTTTACAGCCCTAATGAATATACCTGCAAGGACCGTAAATAAAGCTCATGTGGTTGTGGTGTATTCTTTTGAGATTTCTAAATACTTTCAAAGAGTTCAGAAATTCTCATAAATTTTAGTATATTTAATTTAGATTTGTTTAAGAATTTTAAAAGTATCGAGATATTCATCTGAAATTTTAAAAGGTCTCACAGAATCTTGACTTGTAACTTATTTGAGAGAATTCGTTAAGATTTTTTTTAAAAAAAATTTGTTGAGATTTCAAAAGAAAAAATCAGATATGAAATCTCACTTAGAATCTCGTATTATATTTCATAAGATTTCTCCTAAATTTGAAAATCTTAAAAAATCTCGAAAAAATTTAAAATGTCACTCGAAATTCCAAACGAATACACATATGTATGTTTAGGCTAACATTTGATAATTTTTTGGGAAAAATTGCACTATTCATCCACTAATTATACTCTCGTTACACTTTCGTCCTTTAATTATTTCCAGTTTACAAGTGGTACACTAACCTTTTTTTTGGGTAATTTAGTCCAAAATGACATTCCGGTTCTCATTTTCGCCGGAATA